CTTTAGAGAACTAACTTCTACTTCCAATCTTGGCTGGCTGAACCTCTGAAATCCTCCACTAAAGTTGGCTCTGATCTCCAATGTCCGCTGATAAAACGTGTTTTGCTTCTTACGCAGGCCATTTCTTAGTAGGGTTTCCCCCTTCTTTATATAAAGAGATTTTTGGGGAACATTATTATCCCCTTTTACATGCAAATCCCTCAATGGATACTCTTCCCTTGATAAAGTGCTTCTACTTCTAACGTCATCCATAGAATCTGTCTCTGCTTCTGACTTCCTTCTCTTTGACATATTAGTTCGCTTTACAGATTGCATTATTCTATGCATTTCATTATCTCTCGTTCTATAAATTTCTGCTCTGGATAAATCTTTTTCACAACATCTATCTTCCGTTGTATCGTATGTATAATCATGCACTTGTTGTTCTGATTTCTCCCTCATTGTATAAGTGTCCTTTGCTACCTTTAATTTTCTATGCATATTCTTTTCGTTTGTTATGTAAATATATTTTTTGGAGTTATCTTCTTTTTTCGTTTTCGTGCTTTCTCTTATATCATCTAAAAAATCAGCATTTTCTTCTCCATATTTTTGAAAGGATAAGGGAATTTTCCTGACAGACTTCAACTTGCTCTGAAATTTCCCTTCTGTTTCTATGTGATCTTCCTTGACTGAGCTATCTTTTTGCGATGCATCATACTTTCTGTATGCATCATCTCTTGTAGAACAAAAATCTTCCGTCTCAGATTTCCTCCTGGACCTTACATCGCCTCTATGTGTAGAATAATCTGAACTTCTGTAATACTCTGCTCCGGAAGAATCATACTTTCTCCATGTTCCTTCTTCAATAGTTGCATCAACTTTACTTGACGAATCACCCTTTTCTAGGCCTCTCTTCTTTGTATAAGAATGAATGCTACTCAAAGAATCGTCCTTTTCCATTGGTTTCCTCTTACTAATTACATCAGTTGGTCTCGTAGTATTAACTTTATTGCATCCTGTATTTTTCGTGATTATGTTACGTGAGCTGAAGGAATCATCTTTTTCAGGAAATTCTTCCTCATTAATTCTATCAATTGCGCTGAGGGAATCACCTTTTTTCCATGATTCCTTCCTATTCCTGATTCCAACTGAGCTCAAACACCTATTTCTTGGTGATAATTTCCCCTTAGAAATAGCCTTGGCTCCTTTCAAGTAATGTCTTTTTTCGGACGGCTTGGTTGTTTTCATTGCATCTTCTTTTGCTGCCGATCGAATTTTTTGCAGTTCTTCCCATTCGAAGACAGCTTCATCTGTTTTCATGTAATCCGATTTTTTCAAATATTCGTCATTCTCCACTATATGGATTTGGTCTGCAGATTTAACTTCTGGTAATGTTCCACCTTTGGCATTTTCTTTCTCATCTTTTTTGATAAATTCATCTGTTTTCAATAAAATATTTTCAACTGTTACGACATCCTTCCTTGGCAAATTTTTCCTCTCTGTCGGTTTATCTTCTTCCGTTTCATCATTTATTTTTGCATATTTGCCTGAGCCTAATTCTTCGGATTTGACATGTCCTTTTCTTTCTAGAGATTCGTGCAACTCATATAAGCCACTAGCTCGAGATAATCCAACTCCCTGTGCAGAATTAACTTTTCCTAGCACTTCAGTTTTAGCGGCTTCTCCATCTCTTCTTATAGGTTCGTATAATTGAAAAGAATCGCTTTCTAGATTTATAGTTGATGTATTTAGAGCATCAATTTCCTGTCCTATGTCATTTGGTTCTTGGGCGTTGATTTCATTTATAGTAGTCTTTTTCTTTAGAATTTGGAACCTATCCGCTTCTTCTTTTTTCAAAGATCCTAATTCTTTAAGTAATTCACTATCTTCTGTTAAAACAGCTTTCTTTGGAGCATCAATTTTTTGCTCTCCTGAAAATATTTCTTTAATATCATCTTTATTTAGAGTATCACCTTCCTGTACTGATTC